TTTCCCATCGCGAATAAGTCCTTCGATGATGTTGCGCAAAGCAACACAAGATTCGGTGTCATGTCAACCGAACTGATGGAAGCGACAGAAGACACCCGTGTTGGGCATGGGCTTTCTGTCCGGTCTCCGGGGGGGAGGCTTGGGTATGATAGGTGCCTCGTGCACCAGGGCATTTTCGTAGGTGGTGTTCAGGGTGGTGAAGACCTCGAATCTAGGCTTGGGTGAGAATAGGAGTGGAGCCCGATCGCCTGCCCTGTGCGGGTCGACCCCGCTGGACTGGTGGTTGTTGTTATGTCTGCCCCGTTTGGTATTGTTGAAGCTATGCTGGTAGTTATCCTTCCGCTTGGGGTGCTGGGTACCCTGGGTACTTGGGGCGAGAGTAGAATGTTGAGGTGGGGCTGAGGTGGGTACTGAAGCAGGTGGGGGATCAGCGAAAGGATGATGTGCCGGGGTGGCCGGGCCACGCTTGGAGTTGAAATACTCAGCCTTGGCATGCACTGCTGCCTGCTTCATTAATTCAGCATACGTGTTCCAAGGGTTGCTGTGGACAAGGTACCGAAAGTTAGACTCTCGGAGGCCACTCTTGAAAGCACCAAAGGCGGCACGATCATCGGTCTCTGGGCAGCGGGAGTACTCGTGGCTGAACCTGGCTGCATACTCCCGAAGGGGCTCATCCTCACCCTGCCTAAGCATGTACAGGTCATCCGCAGAGTAGAGGCGATCAGTCTGGATCATGAAATGGTCTAGGAAAGCCTGCTTCAGACTGTCAAACGTATTGATGGTGTGGGGGCTCAGCCTGTAGAACCAATTCAGGGCCGCACCGCTGAGGGTAGATGGGAAGAGGAGGCACATGCCCTCGTCTGTTAAGCCCTTGCATCCCATGGCAGACTGGAAAGAATGTATGTGGGTGAGGGGATCCTCCGTGCCAGTGTAGAAAGCGATGCAGAGGGGCTGGATTTCCTTTTCCTGGTGGAAATTGAGGATGCGCTCGGTAAAGGGCCCAGGTCGTGGCTTCGCCCAGAGGGATTGGTGGTTGCGCTGCTGCTCATTCTCCAGATGCCGGACCTTCTCAAAGAGAAGTCTCATTGCCGGGTCGGCATGAGGGAGAGTCTCGGTTGCAGGAGGTTTGATGCGTGTGGGGCCAGGAGCTAGATAAGGGTCAGGTCCATCGAACTCCTCGGTGTGATAAGGCTCATGCTCCTCTGAGTAATCATGCTCCCAATCATCCGAGTCCCCCATACCCTCTCCTGTAGGCACATGGGTTGGTTTTGGTGGGGGGCCTAGGTGTGTCACCTTTGGGTCTTGGAGATTAACGGGGATAAGAAGGGGTCCCGTCTGAAGGTCCAGGATACGGTCCCTGCAATCCCTGTAGACCTTCGTTGGTTCATGAGGCCGGTTCCTCGGCGGGGAGATACGGAGAAGGCGCGACTTGGTCGTCTCCAGATGGAAGGGGTCCTTACCCTTGCTGGGCCTAGGTTGGATTGAAGGGCTATGGTAGGAATGCTCCGGCTGGTTTGGCTGTGTGCGCTCAGGTTCCTGGGTAAGGCTGCGTT